CTTACCTTGCAACTGGTGGATAGATCGATCACATATCCCAATGGCATTATTGGAGATGTGTTGGTGAAAGTTGATAAGTTCATCTTTCCGGTGGACTTTGTCGTATTGGCCATGAAAGAGGATGAAAAAGTACAGTTGATTCTTGGTCGACCTTTTCTAGCTACTAGAAGAATATTGATTGATGTGCAAGAAGGGAAGTTGACACTACGGGTTAATGAAGAGCAAGTAATTTTCAATATCCATCAAGAAAAGAAAGTCTCAGAAAAAGGAAAAGTTGACACTTGCAAAATGATCCAATCAGCTGAAGTAATTGCAGGAAATAGAAGAAAAGGAAAATTATTTTATGATCTGTCAGTGCAATACATGACAATCAATTACTTAGCAAGAGATGCATCTATTGATGGTAATAACTCAGGAACCAAGATGGCGGTGGATTTCATCTTAACCCAAAAAGCCGATCCACCTGACAAAAAAGAGAGCTATGTGGATAGGCCTTTGAAACCTCCAAACATTGCCAAACCAAAAGAAGTCTTGAAGGCCATACTGGGGTCAAAACCGCATAATATTGTTCACCATTTTATAAGGAAGAGAATACAAAGCCGAGTGTAAAGTTCGAAGACAAGAGAAATGTGCCACCTAAGGATCCATTGTAGGCACTGCGGTTGAGTCAAGCTAGTGACTATAAAGAAGCGCTTCTTGGAAGACAACCCAAGCATTCTTACCTTTTCACTTATTTTATTTCTTTTAAGTTATAGGATAGTTTATTTTATTTCAAAGTTTTTATTTAGGAATTCATCGGCCCTACCCCATCTCTCTTAGGTCTTTGAATAATCAAGTTGATTATTGATGTTCGAGTTAAGTAACACTTGTTCTATGAATTTAATATCTACATTTTGAATTTTTAGGAACACGACGTGGTGGAACAATCAAACCAACATTAACACGGAGAAGCTAGATAAATCTCAAGTTTGGGGGAAAAACGAGAAAAAGCATCCATCAAATTCAACATCAAAGCACCAGACCGTCGTTGGCAATTCAGACAATTCAAGGAAGTCCTCCTCATTTTCTTTTACTTTCACATTGGGGACAATGTTCAGTTCAAGGTTTGGGAGGGGGGAGTGTATGACAAGCTGTCTAATTACCTAATTTTTTATTTTGTGTGATTTGTGTGCATTTTTTTTAATTGTGTACATTGTTAAAAAAATCGTGTTCTGCATACTTGTGTGAGTTAGATAGCCTTGTCGCAATGATGTTTATCATTGAAAACATGCATTGATTTATGAATTGTGGACAAGTTATGTGTGTAAGTCAAATTTTTACTTATTCATGTAAAACGGAATTTATTTTGCACGTGAGTTGATTGTAGCGTTGTGCGTGAATAGATGGATTCATGTTTATATGTTGGACTAAAGAACTTAGATTGTTAATCCAAATGATCATTAAACATCAGTATACTCTTAAACTAACTCTATGATGTTTGGAGGATTGCATTGTTGTGGAGAAACTTGGAGATAAATGTGGATTCCGTGTGTACCAATTTTTGCGTGGACTGTCTGAGACTGATATGATGAAAATTGGGTGAAATCTTAAGTTAGAGGTCGATTTTCGAGAATGCTCGTTTAATAAGGGGCATTGCACTAAGCATTGCAAAACTAAAAATAAAAAAAAATATAAAAATAAAATAAAATAAAGATCCCAATAAGGATAGCTTTAATAATCTCATTGTGAATCGTCTCTTTGTAGTTTTTATGACTCGAGTGATTAAGCATGTAAGGGTTTAAAATGTAATGCCCTAAAGTCATCTGATATGGGAGTCATAAGCATAAAGCTCGCTATAGGGGTCATATAGAAAGTTTAAGGGAAGGACATCCGTGCAAGAGGTGATAAAAAAAAAAAAAAAGAAATAATGCCTTGCTTAAGCCTCGAACACTCATTTTAGAAGATTTAACTTTTTGACAAGAGGTAACTTGGTTAATTTTTAGAGGTTGAAGCAGTCAAAAGTAAGGAGAATCCTCATTTGTTGACATGTGGAACTGTAATTAGTAAAATTTAACCAAACTTGAGTGGTGTAAAATATTAGTACTGAAGATTAACCTTAGATTATACCATGTGAAAGAAAAAAGAAAATAAGTTTTGGGGTGTGTGAATCTCACGAGCAAAGTAAGGAAATAGTTGACTTTTAAGGTGAGGAATTACATCAATTTATTCTTGTACAGCGTTGCACTTCTCTCTACACACACACCCCCGCTGTACATTGAATATATAAGAATTTTAGCTTGTACATTATAACTTTGAAATAATTCAGAGTCGATGTTATGGTTTCAATCCGGAGCTATAAAGGCAAGATATCTAACGAAATTTGTTTTAAAGTAATTTTGTGTGTTTTAGTGTGTTTTTTGAATGTTAATGATTTATTTGATTTGGCTTTTGTTTGAGGACAAACAATTGTTCAATTTTGGGGGTATTTGATAAGTGTATTTTATACACTTATTTCACTCATTAAACTAGAGCAATTTTTGTTATTTAGGATGAATTGATGCTTAACTTCATACATATTTCGTTTGTTAGGTGTAACTCGAGGCAACACAATGAAATTGGATAGAAGAACGAGAAATTTGCTAACTTGAGCCTAATCAAAAGTTTAAGGACTAAATCGCAAGGTATTCAAAGTTGATTTGGACATGATGTTAATGATTGAAGAAGAGCAAGAGGCAATTAAATGGTATTAGAAGATGAATGATCGAGAGGACGTCAAATATGGACCAAAAGGAAAGAAGAATGAAGTATGGGGACCAAAGTGGAACACATGGAAAAATTTCATAACGGCGCGCACGCGCAGGCCAAAACTCTCGCGCGCGTAAGGGGATGAATTTCATAAGCAAAACGTAGAATCAATAGGCGGCGCGCGCGTGCAAAGAAATATACTGCGCATGAGAGCGGGCATTTTCCCAAAAAAATTGGGCAGATTCATTTTTCGATACAAACTCTTATGGAAATAAAATTTATCATACTACTTAACCTGAAGGACGAATAGATCGGCACTTCTTCTTCTAGAGGGCAAAAAGAGTCTACAAGAAGAAAATCTCAAGAGACAAAGATCAACTAAAGCAATTGCAAGAAGATTGACGACGATTGGGGGAAGAATTCACGCAACAAAACTAGTTTTCTTATTACCTACTTCTTCTCCATGTTCTTTATTGTATATTTTGCCATGTCAATCAATTCTATTGTGAACTAGACTTTAATCCTAGGGATTTGATGTAGCCTACTTAGACATGTTTTAATTCCTATATAATTATTTTAACTAATCTTTTCGCTTATTTATTTATGTTGTTCTTGCACAATGCTTGCAATTAATTGGTCAGTAATTGACCGATTTGATGTTTTAAATTTCGACGCTCGAGAGAAGTAAATATACGCGTGATCTAAGAATAACATAATCTATATTTCGTAGATTTCGAGAGAAAGTGCGAATCTTTGAGACTAATTCCACTTAAAGAACTAGGTGCTTTGATAATTTCTATATGTTAGTTCGGAATAGAGATATTGGAATTAAAATATAGAAATAGATTCTATTTGGTGCTCGAGAGAGGGAAATAAAATCAATTTAGAGTTCTTGCCTATAAATTTTGGAAAGATTGATAGAAATAGTTATAACGATTGTAACAATGTCGATAGTATGGTGAAATCACTCCTTAGACATTCATAATTTGATAAGAATCTTTACAAATTGCTCTTGTTCACTTTGCATCATTCATCCCATTCATTTTAATTTAGCAATAAAATATTGTTTCAAAAATGGATTGTCTAAATAAAATGGAAGTTAAAATAATAATAGTACTCGATAGAATTCAAATATCAATCCCTGTGGGTTCGACACTTTTATTCTAATACTACGTTAGAAAACTTGACACCGTACACTTGCAATATAAAATCACGTTGCATAAATCGCGTGGCAGTAATGTAGTCCCTGATTTACAAAAAAAAAAATTGATAAAAGGGGAGTCCTCTTTCCTTGACATATAAATCCAAATGTCACTCCCACGTTGGTACACATGATTAACCCATTTGATCCACAATGTATCCTTTTTACAGTGAATGTTCCAAAGTGTTTTGGAAAGCAGTGTCGAGTTCCAACTTTTAATATCCCTTAGTTCAAGACCACCTTCAACCTTTGGTAGGCATATATTGCTCCATGCACCAATGGTTTGTTTAATCCTCAAAGGAAGTTCTAGCAAAGAGATATGACTCTAGAAGCAACCATGGTTGGAATGGAAAAGGTAGATAACAAAAAATATTCAATCCCTTGAAGCATGGCTCTCACAAGCTCCAATCTTCCTGCATATGATAACAACGCGTTAGACCAAGCACTAATATAAGTTGTGATTTTGTTGATAAGCTAAGATCATATAGTTTCATTTTTAGAACATTTGGAGACGGATAGAAGCTATGTTTTTCGTGGAGCTAACAAAGAATTTGATAAGCACCTATTTTTTGATTGCTCGTTCAGCAACGAATCATGGGAATAGATCCGAAAGTGGTTGGAAATGAGACAACTCATGTCTACACTAGCTAGCTCTTTGAAATGGATTAAAAATAAAGCCCGAGAGACATCTTGACAAAGCAAAACTGAGAAAATTGCACTTGCTTGTACCATTTACTATATTTGGATGTGAGAAATAGGTAGATTTTTTATAATCTTAGACCACACGTTGATAACATGGTGAAATGGATCAAAATGCATACAAAGTCATGTTTTTATTGTACCCTCGTATTCTGATTCATTTTTAGTATCAATGATTAGATCTTATCATTAATATANATGCATACAAAGTCATGTTTTTATTGTACCCTCGTATTCTGATTCATTTTTAGTATCAATGATTAGATCTTATCATTAATATATTTTTTGTTCTTGTTTAACCCTGTTATGTCCAGAGTACTTACATATGAGTTTTGATTTATAAAATTTTACATTTATCTATCAAAAAAATAAAAACTAAAAATAAAATTGCAGTGAGTGACTGGCATCATGCTATATATCCCAAATGAAATGTAACATTACAAAGCACTCAACCAAACACTGAGCTGTAACATATATGCTCGTACAAGTTATCATACATATCTACAGTCGAAAACAAAACCATGCAAATCATTGCCAACTGTCTAACGATATATGTTAGGAAGATCCCGAAGGTTTGCTCCGGGATAAAATTGAAAAAGGCATGGGTAGTTTTGAAACCTCCTTCGTTACCCTGCTGGAAACGACCTTCACAATTCCATCAATTTCCTCCTCGTATTGCTCGTACACAAAGAACAAGGTGAATGCGAGGACTAATGCTGCAATTATTAGAACCACAAAAGTTGGGTAAATTATTGCCAGAGCACAATTTGGAATCATTTCTACAGTTGTAATAATCCATACCTACGCCAATAGCTATGATCAAGGAATGTGAAACCATCAGCCTAAAAATGTACAGCAAAGCTGATACCTGTATCAGTTTCTAGACATGTTAGATATCACGTTTGATGCGACACAAATAGTTTTAAAAAAATTCCATGTGCTAAGGGTACATGTCTAGAATCTTCTTTGAATTCCACATAATTCGCACCTCCAGGAACACTTTCAACAGAAATCTTAGAAGAAAAACAAAGAGAACATCTCAAGGACATTACTAAATGGGCACATAACAGAAATTAAGAACAGCTCCTCTCCTATAATTTTTCGACTATCCAACTGACCATTTAATTCTTTATATAACGTATAAATTATTTATAAATCATCAATCTTCATTTTCATCCACATATTCCAATGAACCCACAAGTACTATCTACTTATCCACCACTTCTTTCTTTCTATTTATAAATTAAACTATTTACAAACTCTTCCCAAATGGAGTCTCAATCTCTAGTTCTCATTTTTTCCTAGCCAAAATATCTTGTAAACCACTTTCTCCCCCTTACTATACAATTTCTCTTATACTTCTGCTTGAAACTTCTTAATTGCCCATTTCAGCTTTCCATTAACTTGTTAAAGCCTCTGCAGTTTTATATTTCAAAAAGTTCCTATAAAATTCTCGGCTTGGAAAAATCCCAGAGAAACGAGATCACCACCAAAATTTCCAACAATTCATTGATTTCTTATCAAGTTCAAGCAACTTTGACAAGCTTAGGGTGCATTTGATTTGCGTTTCCGTTTGCTGTTTTCAAATTTTTGAAAATAGAAAACGTTTTTTTGTTTTGAGAGACTATTTTCGAATTATAGAAAACGTGTTTAGTTTGTCATTTTGAAAAATGGTTTCTCAAAACAAAAAACTAGAAAATGTGTTTGGTTTAAAATTTTTAAAAATTGTTTTATGCCATTTACTCAATTAATTTGATTATTTAGTAAAACATAATAATTTTAAGCTAATACATTACCAGATAATATATATTTTAAACTTGGTAAATTTACTTTTTTTTTTTTTGCTACAAAAATAAAATAATAAATAATAAATGTTAAGAAATTGTTTTATGGCATTTATTTAATTAATTTGATTATTTAGTAAAATATAATAATTTTAAGCTAATATATTACCGGATAATATATATTTTAAACTTGGCGAATTTACTATTTTAAAAGTACTGCTGAGCGAAAAAAAAAAAAAAAACCTGAAAACGACATGTTTTGAGCTTTTTCCGCGTTTTGGGTTGTTCAACTGAAAATGCCCAAAACGAAAAAAAATAAATTGTCTTGCGTTTTCAGTTATAAATTTTTCCTTGTTTTTAAAAATGCATTTTCGGAAACGAGTGACCAAATGCGTTTTAGACGTTTTCAAAAACTAAAAACAGAAAACGGCAAAGGGAACGCCCCCTTAGTTTTTAATTTGTTAGGAAGATAATTCTAATTGCCAAACTCTAATGAGAAGATTGCCAGTGACATCTTATCAAAAATACCAACTGGATCTATTTAGCAGAAAAATATCCACTCGCAAACAATAAACAAATGCACAGAGGGCAGAACACATAATGAACTAAATCACCAATTAGGTTATCAAGTATACTCCTTGGTAGTGATATGCATTTATAAATTGAGCTCGCAAACAATGTTCTTGAGAGCATGGGGTTGCATGATGGTGAAGCAATTGACAAGCATCCAAAGGCTTACAAGCACGTTTGAAATATACTCCTCCAAAAATAAAAAACCAAATTTGAAATATACTCCTCCAAGGATAAAAAACCAAATTTCCAGCAATCACGATTTCATGCATGTGCCCTAGTTAAGTTTTATACTAACGCATTTCATACATGTTAAAATTAAAAACTCTAGTTACTTCGGAGACACCCCAAAGGACGTTCCAGTAAAACAACATACCAATGCTGATTGCATCATGATGAAATTAGATTTGCAGCACAGATATGACACTGCATGCTGGAATAAAAAACCAGCAGACCAACAAGTTTATCCATCCTCTCCAACATGTTAGATTTGAAAGCCTTTTTCTTATTATCTTATAGTGATTTTAAATCTTTCTATGCCATATTAAACCATCAGTCGTCTGAATTCCAACAGGGAGGGCGGGAAAGATGAGGGGTAAAGGAAGATAGGTATGAGCATTAGCTAACCAAGACCAGAAATAAACTAACTTCAGTCAAAGAAATAAAAACGAGTTTCATTTAATTCATACCTTCAAGAAAGTACTCCAATCACTTCCTTGGGCCAATATCCTTGTCACATGACTCGGTGAATTCCACAAAGATGCCATGGTTAAAAATGACTCTCGCATATCAACTTCTGAGATTTCAAAACAAGACAACGGCACTCTAGGAATCGCAAATCCATGTCTGTTGAAAAGAGATCATTGTAAATAAACCAAAATATATTCATTGACATTGTGCCAAAAGACAGAAGATTTAATTGGAAAAACAAAGATATCTGGACGTACTCACGAGCAATGTGTCTCGATAGGCTTAACTAAGCACTCACGAGATGAAACCAAGTATCAAATTCCCTTTCAATTTGTCCCAGTACATGAACATATGAACCATACAGAAAAGAAAGCATAAAACTACCTAATTCACATCAGATAGAACTCCACACACCATGATAAAAAAAGCCCGATTGAGGTGCACCTTAAGGTCAACCTTAAGTGTGAGGAAATCAAAAAATGCCTCAAAACGCTGATTGTAAGGTGGTTTTTGGAAGTGCACATACGAGGTACATGCCTCACAAATGGCTCACAGTAGCGCCTCAACACCAGTGAGGCATATGCTCCTTAATAATCTAGATTGTTTTACTTTAAACCATTTCGAGAATAGCTCGCTACCCATTAAAATATTAAAAAATTGTGCTTTTCGTAGACCCACTTTGGAAATAGTCCACTGCCCCCACCAACTAAATACTAGTTTCTTTTTTGTTAAATTAAAGATATCACTTTCGTTTGTTTGCACATTTTAAATCGTCTATTAGGAATTTTGTAGATTTTCATGATTTATTATGAACTTATTTTGCATTTTAATAATTTTTTGATATTTTTGCTGGTTTCCGGAGCGGCTTATGCCTCAAGGCTCATGCTTCGCCTTAAGGAAAAAGGTCTAAGCACACAATTATGTCTTTTTAAACATTTCCACAGACTTATAGAACCAATAACATTAAACAAAAAGTATCATGAAGCCCCAGAGAAAAGAACACTGAAAAAAAGGAATTACCCATATCTGACAGAGGAGAAACTAGTGGACGATTCTAAAAAAGAGGTTTATTACTGCGATTTTTAAGGAGATAACTTGCAAGACATTGCTCTTACTGAAAAAATTATTGGGCTTGGGGAGTAACTCATGCGACAAGCAATGAAATTCTATATAAAGAGTTGACAGCATCATCCACCAAAGAAAACTGCAGTGCTCATTGCTTACATATTTGGTGGTAGCATATGATATCCAGAAAGCACAGANCAGCATCGTCAACATCACCACCACCTCATCACCATAGCTAACATCACAACCTTTACCACCCAAACATCATCAAAAAATCCCCCGCAGCTAAATAGCTGAAGCTATTCCCACCTTCTCCACCACATCATCATCACCATCACCATCACCATCACCATCACTGCAGCCACCGCCACTACCTCCACCACCACCAACAAAATTACTGCACAAGCCAAATCTAGAATCAGATTCGTACACCAGCGACGATGCTGTCGCTACTTTATCGTTGCTACGCAAGACTGCATCGCAGTGACCAAGTCCACCGTCTCATACCATTAACACAAATAGCCGTTGATCACTCATTCCGTCACCAATATTTTTCACTTCACTGGAAGCCAATCCTTCATAGATCAGTCGTGACACCACCAAGAACCACATGATGCGATTAGTACAATGATGGCTGTTCACGGCATTGCTACTTCGCCCTACTGCATGGAAGCAGTGTGCACCGCTACACACGACGGCGCTACAATGACAATTAGAGAGAAGATGGGAAACTTAGGGCAATGCAGAGAGAGAGAGAGAGAGAGAGAGAGAGAGAGAGAGAGTGTGGATATATGTTTAATTTCTAATAATAATATATTTTATTTACTAAATATTAAATCATTATCTGAATTATAAAATATAAAACTTAATTTCTTATTTATGACATACAAATTTGAAAAACAGCCCTAAGTGTAATTTCCACACTATATAATCTGTCCCTAGCCCTGTCACTCTAGTATTAGTGATAAATCTTCCCCATAATCTTCATATGACGTGCTAATTTATTGGTATGTTTCGTTATAGAATGTAAGTATACATAACCTTTGATCTTCTTTTACTCATATGACATTGTTATGAAATGTTCAGATAATAAAGACACTGAATTATGCCAAAGTTGTAAATCCTACTAAACATGTGTGAAAAAGAATACGACTTGACTAACTTGTGATCAAGGATAGTACAATGAAGCTATACAGAAAGCACTCATCATTTCTTCAGTGGATTAAATCCAACATCAAAGAGAAAACCCAAAAACATTTTTTTTCATTGCAATGCTCTACAAAACTCAAACGCAGAGGGCGAAGGAAATTCCGAACGACAGTCGGAGTGTGCAAGAATCTGACAAACTTATTACGTATACGCAAAGGCTAAGCTATGCCTAAAGTCATCCATATTTCTGAGCTGAACCTAAAAGTTGTCCTTGGCTTTGCGAATGACTCCCAAGGCTTCGACATCATCTGCTGAGTCAGGGATATTCAATGACTTACGTATTACTTTGCTTGAAGTCCGAAGGAATGGATTGCACGACTTTTCCTTTCTTAGAGAAGTCGGGATCTACGCAACATTAATCATTAAGAAAAAAGCATTCGCATACTCGGATAAAGGTGAAAGTTTAGAAAGTCGAAAAGTACCGTCGGCAAGCCCTTGCTGCGGAGCTGGGCTACATAGGCAGCATAAGACTGCAATTCTTCATTCCCAGGTTCTAATGACAGGGCGAATTTAGAATTACTCTGTCAAAAAATGCCAATATTTTAGGGTCAATTTTTGGTTCAAGAATGTTGAGAAATATTAAAAAAGAGAGAATACCAAATGCTTATCGAGAATTCAATTTACCAATGTATATTCATGACCACAATATATATTTGTATCATCTGGCACCGACGTGATCTTCCTCAGGGAAGAAAGCATCTGGTACAAACTCAATGTGTAATCATCAAGACAGTTCAAAATGTACTAGAAGACCATAAAAACTCTAATTTCACGTCCAATAATAGCAAGAAAGCTTTCATAAATATCATCGAAAATCTAATACAATTCAAATCAATTAACAAATGGTACGAGGATATAAACCATGTTCTGTAGAAAAAAAAAGACACCTACTCCAAGCAAGTAAAACGAACACGTCATACATGCTTATTCCATGCTTTTTCGAAGTAACACTGCATGGCAGAAGCTCCTGAGACTGCAGAGAATTGGACTGATGATTTGATAATACACTGACTTGCGTTGACACTACATAAAGAAAGATTGGTGCTCGGAATTCTATTTCATTAATAAAAAAGTTATCAAGCTTCGCTTTTGTTTTTAGCTACAAGCCTGCATAATTTAAAAAATTCATTTTTCTCTCTCTTATTTCCAACCATACATTCTTCAATAAAATAATATTTACAAGCAAACCCAAACATTTTTCTTATTTTTTAACCACATATTCTCCATCGAAATATTATTTCAAAATGCATTTTGGGAGAAAAATGGGGCTCAAACGGGCTCTTAATGTGCAAAATTTGTAATCATTCTTGGAAATGACTCAATATGGAATCACAAACCTGAACATCAAAATGAAGGATTTACTCCACTATATGATAGGTGCACTAGCTGACACCCTGCTTTATCTTTTACTTGCAGGGCTTCTATAATCCTTCCCATAGATATTTGCCATTGCATTTCACAAATATGCAAAATTGCAACATTTCACTCATTTAATTTGTTTACAAAGAAAAATCATAGCTTGCTTCCATATCTATTAAAACCCACACCAAAGGTCTCACCTAAATCACCTGCAAAGCTTAGAGAAGGGCTCATCCATCAGCAATTCTTTATCCGTTTTAATAAATTGGATCACCTATAATTCTATATTCAACCAATCATTCTGTAACTCACTTATAATCAAACACCAAAACTACTATCCAAGAAGTAAACATTATAGCTAGAAAACAAGTCATTTCAATAGATAGCACAACACACCTGCTGCGGAGTTCCTTCAAAAAGCTTGCCACATGATAAGCTGAACAAAGTGTCTCCCGTAAAAATTGATTTTGATCCAGGGAAGTGGAAAGTAATATGGCCTGCTTGCATGGTGGACCATGTTTAAGGTTAGGTCAGTACTATGGAATCAAACCGAGAAGAATATCAGCCTAAAAACTGCATTTCCATACAATCATATGGAAAAATATATATACATTCACCAGTTTGATTGATAAAAAAATACGGTTTTATGAATGAAGAGTCTAAATTAATTGATAAATTCAAATCTCCAAATTAATATCCATTGAACTAGTTCATTTCAATACATCAGCTTATTCATGTTAAGTTGTAATTAGAATCTCTGATATGATATATTCATATTTATCAGGCTTCCTCTCACTTCAATGGCTTCTTGTGCATGAGTTTTGTAGTTTTATCATCCAGCCTCTATTAAAATTTCAATTATCATAGTTTACGTCTCAAGTAAACCATATCCAGTCCTCAGCCTCTAAGACACTGCCAACGTTCTCAATTCTTGAATTACACCCTTGTGCAGTTGTAAGTCGGAATTGGAATGAACTTTTGAAATTCTATTCCCACTTCAAAATTATTTTTAAAATTTCCACAAGGAAAGGGAAATAATATAATTCATAATCCAACCAAATATATATAATATATAGCCTACAATCGGTATGGGAAATTTTGAATTGACAATTTCAAAAGGAGCAACTAATGGAAAGCCATTTGAAAGATATAGATGTTGCATTTGAAAGATTCCCGGAACAAGACAAAAAGACTTGTCTACTATAAAGGTGATAAGCCACAGATTCAGATCCAATATTCAGTGTGGAAAGAAGACAGAAGCAGAAAAGGGAGACCAGAAAAAAGGAATTTCCATGCACATGAGCACAACAAATTCGGTTGGGTAAGCTGTTATGGAGCCTCAAGTATATAAGCAGGAAGAAATTGGGAAAAGAGCAGGAAAGAAGTGGAAGAATCTAGCAGGAGAATTTGGACCTCTAGAAAGTTCAATTACCCCTTTGTTTTCTCTTTCATTTTGTTGAGCATTCTGCAGTTTCTTTTCTGATTTGTATTTGTTTCGTTAATACAAAGGAAACATTCTTCTTTACTGTTGTCATTATGAGTCCCCTTTAATATTGTGATCATGTGTCCTATTAGCTGGGAACATATCATTTTGGTATCAGAGCAGACTCCTGGGAATGACATTAACCAATCGGGTAGGAGAATTAGAGGATCGGATGGATGGTTATCACTGCAGCTTGGAGGAGAGAATGGACGCATTTCAGGCAGGCATGGATTCAATGAAGGCTGAGATTCACAGGGTGCAAAACAAAGAAAAGAACATGAGCTCAGGGGTAACGAAAAAATAAAGGAACAGAAGAGGCTCCTTCGACCGGATTCACTATGAACTCAGGGTAACGGTGCCGATAGAAGAAGAAGAAAACGGTGACGAAGGGAGAGGCTGGTAGCAACCGGAGTTCCGTAATCGAAGGTTGGAAGTTTCGGTGTTTGAAGGAGATGACCCAAAGGGCTAGGTCTTCAAAGCTGAACGATATTTCAGCCTTACCCATTTATCTAAACAGGAGAAATTGGAAGCTGCAACCATCTGCTTTGAAGGAGAGGCCCTATCTTGGTACTAGTGGCAACAGAGGAGGAAAAGGGTTCAGAATTGGTAGGAGTTGAAAGGTTTGGCACTCAATCGATTCCGATCAGCCCATGGGAAAACCGGTGAAGCGAAGTTCCTAGCTCTGCGACAGGAAGGATCAGTAAGGGAATATCGCCCGTGGTTCGAATTGTTGGAGGCTCTATTACCGAAAATCTCAAAGGCGTTGCTAGAGGGACACTTCACCAATGGCTTGAAGCCAGAAATCAAGGCCGAACTAAGGGTGTTGAAGCCCAGGGGCCTAGAAGAAATTATGGAGGCGGTCCAACCGATCGAGGATAAGATCAATATGGGCCAACAATAGTGGGTTGGGTCGAGTCTAGGAAGAAGTAGAGTTGCTAGTGCCATAACCCAAACTTCTTTTTCAAACCAACACAGCAACCCAACCCTCAAATACTGTATGCAGCCTTCGAAGTCGACCCAAAATTCATGCTCGAGTCACTCGGCCTTAAATTACCACCGTTCGACACCACGACGACGGTGCAGGCGGCCACAACTGGAAAGGTCACCAGTCCGAACTTCAAGAGGTTAAGTGAGGCAGAATTTCAAGCAAAAAAAGAGAAGGGGCTTTGTTTTAAGTGTGATGAAAAGTACTCCATTGGACATAGGTGCTGAAACAAGAATTGCGGGTCATGGTACTTTTGGATGAGGACTTACAGGAGGGAATGGAGGAGGTGGAGAAAGAGTTGCAGGAATCTGAGTCGAACGAAGTAGGGGAAGCAATGGAACTCTCAATTAACTCGGTGGTAAGGTTGACGTCTCCTCAAACAATGAAGGTGAAGGGCCTAATTGGAAAACAAGAAGTGGTGGTGTTGATAGATTGTGGAGCGACTAATAACTTCACCTCTACCGAGCTAGTTCAAAAACTGGGTTTGCCCAGGGCCGAAACAATCGGGTTTAGGGTGATAATACGAACAAGATTTGCGGTGCAAGGAGCTGGTATCTATAAATGGGTTATCCTATCTCTTCAAAATTTGGAAATAACTGAAGATTTCCTACCTTTGGAGTTAGGAAGTTCAAATGTCATCCTAAGCATGAAATGGTTGTCATCACTTGGAAAAATGTCATTGGATTGGAAGTCATTAACGATGTGTTTCCATGTAGGGGGCACTAATGTCACGCAGCTCACGCTACAGGGGGACCCTAGCTTTAGCAAGTCACTAGTGAGTCTGAAATCTATGATGAAGGCTTTCCAGGAAGGTGGAGAAGGGATATTATTAGAGCTGGAAAATCTGTCCATAGAGGTGCACGCTATAAGGCCAGAAGTACGAAAAGAACTAGAGCGGGTTTTGATAGAGTTTGAAGGAAGTTTTCAGGAGCCCAATGGGTTACCACCCCATCGGGAGAGGGATCACTCCATAATTCTACAAGCAGGAACAGCCCCGATAAGTATTCGACCGTATCGTTAACCTTACAGTAAAAAAATGAGATTGAAAAATTGGTTCGGGAGATGTTGTCGGCAAGTATCATTAGACCAAGCACAAGTCCATTTTCCAGCCCAGTTTTGCTAGTCAAAAAAGGACGGGGATGGCGTTTCTGTGTGGATCATAGGGCGTTGAATAAGGCGACGATGCTGGATAAATTTCCAATTCCGATCACAGAAGAACTACTGGATGAATTGCATGAAGCCTTGATTTTTTCGAAGTTGGACTTGAAGGCAGGATATCATCAGATTAGGGTATCTCGGCAAGATATTCCTAAAACGGCTTTTAGAACTCATGAGGGGCATTACGAGTTCTTGGTTATACCCTTCGGATTAACCAATGCACTGGCGACCTTTCAAACATTGATGAATGAGATATTCAAGGAGAGGTTGAGACAATCTGTCCTAGTTTTCTTGACGATATCTTAGTATACGCAACACATCTCAACCATCTAAAGGTTGTCATTCCGCTAATATTTATATCTCCCATAGAGATTCTCATTTCTTATAATACCCAAAATAACACTTAATTCTTCAATCGTGATCCTTGGCAATTTTACTTCTTTTCTCTGTATTTTTAGTCAAATATCAATCTTTAGAGCAAAAAATGACTTCCACATTACAAATTCAAGGTATCAAAACCAAACTAGTACTTTGAGACCTTCCATAATTACGTAGTATGACTGGTTAACTTCATACATCTATACTATAGTTTGTAAAATTTGAATATCACCAATTAGTCACCAACTTTTGATCCAAATCTGATCGCATATCAACCATAATGTACTCATATAACCTTGACACTACACGCTTCAAAGGGATTCTATCCAGGAAATTACCATTTTCTCGTACTCTCTTCATCATAGGCCCCCAGGCACCCAAAAGTCAGATTTTTCTAGAATAATTAAAATTCCTAACTTCAAAGCTTGACAAAACCCAAGATCCATGTTGTGCCTTCATTAAATAATGTCAAAACAATCAATCTACCACTGCCTATAATGAGAAATAATCAAACAGCAATTGAAGCATGCTTGCTTATAACTACTATATATACTATCATTGGAAAGGCCCCCAATTAGCATCTCCAATAAATATATGAAACCTTTTCAATCAAAGCATTCCCAATCGTACTACTCCTACCTACCATGTTAGAAGGTAAACAACAATAATCATTCGTAATATAGTTATGAATGTCATCATAAATTATGGGTCACAGCAAAAATGAGGCAAGCGATTCAAGGATAATCTTTGGTACCATGGCAAAAATAATGCAGTTATGACCTCATTCATGTGTGCATGTAACCATTCAGCGAAGGACAACGGATGGTTAGAGTTTTTAACACAAAATTAAGCAGTAGGGGAGCATACGAACTAAGCTATGATGGAGGACTGGCTTATACCTTCTCATTTTCAATTTTAAGGTTTTTATTTTAATACATACAGCTTATTAGGTAAATAATACTTATTATTTACCATTCACCGGGGACTATGTCGAAATTTTGCAATAGATCCTTACTGAAGAGGGGGGAACATTTTTGGGGCTTCATTATGCCTTTTGAATATTGAATAAAAACTAAATTATGCTCTTGTCAATCATGCAGCTTTCCATTGTATAGTATTATCAGTAGTGTGCATCAAACTTGAAGATAATGTAGAGAAGAATTTCAACTTGCACTATTTACATTTAGTGCTGTGTGCAATAGAAACGGGTGCAGTTGTGGCGGGAGAGAGAGAAATGCTAAAGGTGGTGAATAGACTTCCTTTATGTAAAGATTTCAAATTTATTCATCATTGTCCCTTAATTGATTAGTACTTGCTCATGATTAAGAGGTGAATTTTGTGCAAAAATCTAGGGAACCGTATTTACCCACATGATGAAGGTAACATTAACCATCAACATCAGCATAACATTAACAGATGCGCACAAACACTTAGTGTAACAACAGATATACAAATGCATATGTTCTTATTCATTTTATCTAACTTAATCGATGGTGGAGGAGGATATTATACGTGATTATATTTATACCTTTGATGATTTGAGGCTTATTGAGGGGGTCGACGCGGAAATACAAGGCGCGGCCAGAGGAAAAGGCTTGCGAGAGGATTGACTCAGAAGGAAGGATTTGGGGTGACGGATACGAATCAATAACTCGGACGATCCAATTACCGAGTTTGAGCAACCTCTCCACCAGCGATCGGCCTATGAATCCCCTACCTCCGATCACAACACACGTTTTCAACTGCCGATCATCGTAATGACTTCCATTCTCCTCCACCATTTTGATCTTTTCACGGCTTCCTTCTCTTTTTCTCTGGTTTTACAGTAGACACATGAAATGAAGAAAATGAGAGGAAAAAAAGGTGGTGTGACGAAGAGAGCTTTTCAGCGGTGCGTGGCAGTGGTGGTGTTGTGGGGTCCATTTCAATAAAGCTTTACTTTTTGTGTTCTTCGTCATTAAGATGTCCACTTTCCATTCTCAATAACAAATTTATCATCAATCTTTTTATTTTGACTTTTCAATTACGTAGCAATTTCGTTAATTTTAACCATTAAATGACCAATTTATATTTCTTTTTAAGTCCATGTTTGAGCCACATTCTAAGCAAAAAAATTTATTATTCATGTCAAATCAATGAAAAATATGTGGTTAAAAAATAATAAAGAGTTTTAAATTTACGTGTATATTATTTTATTGAAGAATGTGGGGATGAAATGATGTCAAATCACTGTTGAAAAATGTATTTTTTTAAAAATAATGTGGCTCGAACAAGCCCTAAATAAAAAAAAAACATAAAAGTAAAGAAAATTATAAATAAAATCTCAAAACTTTGCAAAAAGTAAAAATAAACCTCATAAAACTTAACTACTTGTTGATGCATAAAAAAAAATAAAAATAAAAAAATAAATTAGAAAATTTCATTTCTTCCATCGTTTTTTACTATTAACATCTGGACGGTAATGAAATTTTATCATTCTTTCACCTATTATTTCTCAAATTAATGGAAATTATTTGATTGATAGTCGTGTCGTAATAAATCTTGAGCTTTGCTAGAGTGACATGGCTGGGGACAAGACGTATAAACAGAGGCTGAGATGGATGCATTCAAAAATTCATGACTAAGAGATTAAATATCGCTCATTTTAAAACTAAGAACAAATGTTTTAAATTTCAAAAATCGAATGTTTATTAAAATTTATGTATAATTTAATCAATGAATTATATTAAGATCACAAATTTATACAATTTGGTAACAAATTAACGATTTAGTTAGCCATATATTATTTTTCGATCACAAATCAGAAATTTTATATATCACAAATTATTTTACGATCACAATTAAAAAAATTTATAGGTCATAATTTATTCATTAGTCACAAATCAAAAATTTATAAATCACAGTTTATTTATCGATCACAAATAACAATATTATAAGCCACAAATTATCAGTGACAAATTAACAAATTTTTATATCACACATTATTTCTTGATCACAATTTATCTTTTTTATTGGTCATGTATTATTTATTAATCACAGATTAACCTATTTAATGGTCATAGTCAACCAAATTATTTGTGACCATTACCAACAATTGGAAATATCACCTTACCACTATCATCAGCCGCAATACCACCAAACCTGTCGTTGCCTCTAATCCACCACAACCACAACTATGCATAGCACCACACCACTCACGCAACCATCAGAACAGTACCGCTCTCATAGCATCACAATAGCACATCATTGTCGCACCCACCACACCGCACAGCACCACCACCAAGCACAGCACCCCTTCCACTCACCCAACAACCGTACCACCACCACCCCCCATGCCCATCTCCATCTTACGATCACAACGTCGCTATAAATCGTGCGATCACCACCATCTCACCAGCATCGTCAACATCACCACCACCTCATCACCATAGCTAACATCACAACCTTTACCACCCAAACATCATCAAAAAATCCCCCGCAGCTAAATAGCTGAAGCTATTCCCACCTTCTCCACCACATCATCATCACCATCACCATCACCATCACCATCACTGCAGCCACCGCCACTACCTCCACCACCACCAACAAAATTACTGCACAAGCCAAATCTAGAATCAGATTCGTACACCAGCGACGATGCTGTCGCTACTTTATCGTTGCTACGCAAGACTGCATCGTAGTGACCAAGTCCACCGTCTCATACCATTAACACAAATAGCCGTTGATCACTCATTCCGTCACCAATATTTTTCACTTCACTGGAAGCCAATCCTTCATAGATCAGTCGTGACACCACCAAGAACCACATGATGCGATTAGTACAATGATGGCTGTTCACGGCATTGCTACTTCGCCCTACTGCATGGAAGCAGTGTGCACCGCTACACACGACGGCGCTACAATGACAATTAGAGAGAAGATGGGAAACTTAGGGCAATGCAGAGAGAGAGAGAGAGAGAGAGAGAGAGAGAGAGAGAGTGTGGATATATGTTTAATTTCTAATAATAATATATTTTATTTACTAAATATTAAATCATTATCTGAATTATAAAATATAAAACTTAATTTCTTATTTATGACATACAAATTTGAAAAACAGCCCTAAGTGTAATTTCCACACTATATAATCTGTCCCTAGCCCTGTCACTCTAGTATTAGTGATAAATCTTCCCCATAATCTTCATATGACGTGCTAATTTATTGGTATGTTTCGTTATAGAATGTAAGTATACATAACCTTTGATCTTCTTTTACTCATATGACATTGTTATGAAATGTTCAGATAATAAAGACACTGAACTATGCCAAAGTTGTAAATCCTACTAAACATGTGTGAAAAAGAATACGACTTGACTAACTTGTGATCAAGGATAGTACAATGAAGCTATACAGAAAGCACTCATCATTTCTTCAGTGGATTAAATCCAACATCAAAGAGAAAACCCAAAAACATTTTTTTTCATTGCAATGCTCTACAAAACTCAAACGCAGAGGGCGAAGGAAATTCCGAACGACAGTCGGAGTGTGCAAGAATCTGACAAACTTATTACGTATACGCAAAGGCTAAGCTATGCCTAAAGTCATCCATATTTCTGAGCTGAACCTAAAAGTTGTCCTTGGCTTTGCGAATGACTCCCAAGGCTTCGACATCATCTGCTGAGTCAGGGATATTCAATGACTTACGTATTACTTTGCTTGAAGTCCGAAGGAATGGATTGCACGACTTTTCCTTTCTTAGAGAAGTCGGGATCTACGCAACATTAATCATTAAGAAAAAAGCATTCGCATACTCGGATAAAGGTGAAAGTTTAGAAAGTCGAAAAGTACCGTCGGCAAGCCCTTGCTGCGGAGCTGGGCTACATAGGCAGCATAAGACTGCAATTCTTCATTCCCAGGTTCTAATGACAGGGCGAATTTAGAATTACTCTGTCAAAAAATGCCAATATTTTAGGGTCAATTTTTGGTTCAAGAATGTTGAGAAATATTAAAAAAGAGAGAATACCAAATGCTTATCGAGAATTCAATTTACCAATGTATATTCATGACCACAATATATATTTGTATCATCTGGCACCGACGTGATCTTCCTCAGGGAAGAAAGCATCTGGTACAAACTCAATGTGTAATCATCAAGACAGTTCAAAATGTACTAGAAGACCATAAAAACTCTAATTTCACGTCCAATAATAGCAAGAAAGCTTTCATAAATATCATCGAAAATCTAATACAATTCAAATCAATTAACAAATGGTACGAGGATATAAACCATGTTCTGTAGAAAAAAAAAGACACCTACTCCAAGCAAGTAAAACGAACACGTCATACATGCTTATTCCATGCTTTTTCGAAGTAACACTGCATGGCAGAAGCTCCTGAGACTGCAGAGAATTGGACTGATGATTTGATAATACACTGACTTGCGTTGACACTACATAAAGAAAGATTGGTGCTCGGAATTCTATTTCATTAATAAAAAAGTTATCAAGCTTCGCTTTTGTTTTTAGCTACAAGCCTGCATAATTTAAAAAATTCATTTTTCTCTCTCTTATTTCCAACCATACATTCTTCAATAAAATAATATTTACAAGCAAACCCAAACATTTTTCTTATTTTTTAACCACATATTCTCCATCGAAATATTATTTCAAAATGCATTTTGGGAGAAAAATGGGGCTCAAACGGGCTCTTAATGTGCAAAATTTGTAATCATTCTTGGAAATGACTCAATATGGAATCACAAACCTGAACATCAAAATGAAGGATTTACTCCACTATATGATAGGTGCACTAGCTGACACCCTGCTTTATCTTTTACTTGCAGGGCTTCTATAATCCTTCCCATAGATATTTGCCATTGCATTTCACAAATATGCAAAATTGCAACATTTCACTCATTTAATTTGTTTACAAAGAAAAATCATAGCTTGCTTCCATATCTATTAAAACCCACACCAAAGGTCTCACCTAAATCACCTGCAAAGCTTAGAGAAGGGCTCATCCATCAGCAATTCTTTATCCGTTTTAATAAATTGGATCACCTATAATTCTATATTCAACCAATCATTCTGTAACTCACTTATAATCAAACACCAAAACTACTATCCAAGAAGTAAACATTATAGCTAGAAAACAAGTCATTTCAATAGATAGCACAACACACCTGCTGCGGAGTTCCTTCAAAAAGCTTGCCACATGATAAGCTGAACAAAGTGTCTCCCGTAAAAATTGATTTTGATCCAGGGAAGTGGAAAGTAATATGGCCTGCTTGCATGGTGGACCATGTTTAAGGTTAGGTCAGTACTATGGAATCAAACCGAGAAGAATATCAGCCTAAAAACTGCATTTCCATACAATCATATGGAAAAATATATATACATTCACCAGTTTGATTGATAAAAAAATACGGTTTTATGAATGAAGAGTCTAAATTAATTGATAAATTCAAATCTCCAAATTAATATCCATTGAACTAGTTCATTTCAATACATCAGCTTATTCATGTTAAGTTGTAATTAGAATCTCTGATATGATATATTCATATTTATCAGGCTTCCTCTCACTTCAATGGCTTCTTGTGCATGAGTTTTGTAGTTTTATCATCCAGCCTCTATTAAAATTTCAATTATCATAGTTTACGTCTCAAGTAAACCATATCCAGTCCTCAGCCTCTAAGACACTGCCAACGTTCTCAATTCTTGAATTACACCCTTGTGCAGTTGTAAGTCGGAATTGGAATGAACTTTTGAAATTCTATTCCCACTTCAAAATTATTTTTAAAATTTCCACAAGGAAAGGGAAATAATATAATTCATAATCCAACCAAATATATATAATATATAGCCTACAATCGGTATGGGAAATTTTGAATTGACAATTTCAAAAGGAGCAACTAATGGAAAGCCATTTGAAAGATATAGATGTTGCATTTGAAAGATTCCCGGAACAAGACAAAAAGACTTGTCTACTATAAAGGTGATAAGCCACAGATTCAGATCCAATATTCAGTGTGGAAAGAAGACAGAAGCAGAAAAGGGAGACCAGAAAAAAGGAATTTCCATGCACATGAGCACAACAAATTCGGTTGGGTAAGCTGTTATGGAGCCTCAAGTATATAAGCAGGAAGAAATTGGGAAAAGAGCAGGAAAGAAGTGGAAGAATCTAGCAGGAGAATTTGGACCTCTAGAAAGTTCAATTACCCCTTTGTTTTCTCTTTCATTTTGTTGAGCATTCTGCAGTTTCTTTTCTGATTTGTATTTGTTTCGTTAATACAAAGGAAACATTCTTCTTTACTGTTGTCATTATGAGTCCCCTTTAATATTGTGATCATGTGTCCTATTAGCTGGGAACATATCATTTTGGTATCAGAGCAGACTCCTGGGAATGACATTAACCAATCGGGTAGGAGAATTAGAGGATCGGATGGATGGTTATCACTGCAGCTTGGAGGAGAGAATGGACGCATTTCAGGCAGGCATGGATTCAATGAAGGCTGAGATTCACAGGGTGCAAAACAAAGAAAAGAACATGAGCTCAGGGGTAACGAAAAAATAAAGGAACAGAAGAGGCTCCTTCGACCGGATTCACTATGAACTCAGGGTAACGGTGCCGATAGAAGAAGAAGAAAACGGTGACGAAGGGAGAGGCTGGTAGCAACCGGAGTTCCGTAATCGAAGGTTGGAAGTTTCGGTGTTTGAAGGAGATGACCCAAAGGGCTAGGTCTTCAAAGCTGAACGATATTTCAGCCTTACCCATTTATCTAAACAGGAGAAATTGGAAGCTGCAACCATCTGCTTTGAAGGAGAGGCCCTATCTTGGTACTAGTGGCAACAGAGGAGGAAAAGGGTTCAGAATTGGTAGGAGTTGAAAGGTTTGGCACTCAATCGATTCCGATCAGCCCATGGGAAAACCGGTGAAGCGAAGTTCCTAGCTCTGCGACAGGAAGGATCAGTAAGGGAATATCGCCCGTGGTTCGAATTGTTGGCGGCTCTATTACCGAAAATCTCAAAGGCGTTGCTGGAGGGACACTTCACCAATGGCTTGAAGCCAGAAATCAAGGCCGAACTAAGGGTGTTGAAGCCCAGGGGCCTAGAAGAAATTATGGAGGCGGTCCAACCGATCGAGGATAAGATCAATATGGGCCAACAATAGTGGGTTGGGTCGAGTCTAGGAAGAAGTAGAGTTGCTAGTGCCATAACCCAAACTTCTTTTTCAAACCAACACAGCAACCCAACCCTCAAATACTGTATGCAGCCTTCGAAGTCGACCCAAAATTCATGCTCGAGTCACTCGGCCTTAAATTACCACCGTTCGACGCCGCGACGACGGTGCAGGCGGCCACAACTGGAAAGGTCACCAGTCCGAACTTCAAGAGGTTAAGTGAGGCAGAATTTCAAGCAAAAAAAGAGAAGGGGCTTTGTTTTAAGTGTGATGAAAAGTACTCCATTGGACATAGGTGCTGAAACAAGAATTGCGGGTCATGGTACTTTTGGATGAGGACTTACAGGAGGGAATGGAGGAGGTGGAGAAAGAGTTGCAGGAATCTGAGTCGAACGAAGTAGGGGAAGCAATGGAACTCTCAATTAACTCGGTGGTAAGGTTGACGTCTCCTCAAACAATGAAGGTGAAGGGCCTAATTGGAAAACAAGAAGTGGTGGTGTTGATAGATTGTGGAGCGACTAATAACTTCACCTCTACCGAGCTAGTTCAAAAACTGGGTTTGCCCAGGGCCGAAACAATCGGGTTTAGGGTGATAATACGAACAAGATTTGCGGTGCAAGGAGCTGGTATCTATAAATGGGTTATCCTATCTCTTCAAAATTTGGAAATAACTGAAGATTTCCTACCTTTGGAGTTAGGAAGTTCAAATGTCATCCTAAGCATGAAATGGTTGTCATCACTTGGAAAAATGTCATTGGATTGGAAGTCATTAACGATGTGTTTCCATGTAGGGGGCACTAATGTCACGCAGCTCACGCTACAGGGGGACCCTAGCTTTAGCAAGTCACTAGTGAGTCTGAAATCTATGATGAAGGCTTTCCAGGAAGGTGGAGAAGGGATATTATTAGAGCTGGAAAATCTGTCCATAGAGGTGCACGCTATAAGGCCAGAAGTACGAAAAGAACTAGAGCGGGTTTTGATAGAGTTTGAAGGAAGTTTTCAGGAGCCCAATGGGTTACCACCCCATCGGGAGAGGGATCACTCCATAATTCTACAAGCAGGAACAGCCCCGATAAGTATTCGACCGTATCGTTAACCTTACAGTAAAAAAATGAGATTGAAAAATTGGTTCGGGAGATGTTGTCGGCAAGTATCATTAGACCAAGCACAAGTCCATTTTCCAGCCCAGTTTTGCTAGTCAAAAAAGGACGGGGATGGCGTTTCTGTGTGGATCATAGGGCGTTGAATAAGGCGACGATGCCGGATAAATTTCCAATTCCGATCACAGAAGAACTACTGGATGAATTGCATGAAGCCTTGATTTTTTCGAAGTTGGACTTGAAGGCAGGATATCATCAGATTAGGGTATCTCGGCAAGATATTCCTAAAACGGCTTTTAGAACTCATGAGGGGCATTACGAGTTCTTGGTTATACCCTTTGGATTAACCAATGCACTGGCGACCTTTCAAACATTGATGAATGAGATATTCAAGGAGAGGTTGAGACAATCTGTCCTAGTTTTCTTGACGATATCTTAGTATACAGTCGGGATATGAAGCAACACCAAGGGCACTTGAGGTGGGTTATGGAGGTTCTAAAAAAGAATCAATTGCATTTGAATAAGAAGAAATGTATATTTGGCCAAGAGGAGGTAGAGTACTTAGGTCATATCATATCACACAAAGGTGTGGCAGCAGATGAGGTGAAGGTCAAGGCAATGGTAGAGTGGCCAAGTTCGGGTTCCTTACGTGAGCTTCATGAGTTTCTTGGGTTGATAGAGTATTACAGGAGGTTTGTGAAGGACAATGGGAAAATTGCATCGTCGTTGACTGAAAGTTTAAAAAAGAACAACTTCCGCTGGGACAAAGAAGCAGAACGGGCTTTCCAAGAATTAAAAGGAAGAATGATGTCTTACCAAATTGCATGGTCGTTGACTAAAAGTTTAAAAAAGAACAACTTCCACTGGGACAAAGAAGCGAAACGGGCTTTCCAGGAATTAAAAGGAAGAATGATGTCCCTACCAGCCCTTGGGTTGCCGGATTTCACAAAAACATTTGTAGTCAAAACGGACGCTTTGGGATACGGGTTAGGAGTCGTATTGATGCAAGAGTGTAGACCCATTGCTTTCTTTAGTCAAGCAATTAATCAGAAGGGCCAGGAAAAGTCAGTGTATGAAAGGGAATTAATGGCCAGTCTTCGCAGTACAAAAGTGGCACCATTGTTGGGTCACCACTTCATAATTCGGACAGATCAAAAAAGTTTGAAATTTCTGTTAGTACAGAGGGTGGTCACTCCTGAATATTAGAGGTGGTTGATGAAGCCTATGGGATATCAGTTTGAAATTCAATACAGGCCGGGTCATAAGAACAAAGCAGCTGACGCTCTCTCGCATGTTAACCACCTGCCATCATTGATGGCGCTGACTCTACCAGCAGTTGTCCAGTTGGAGTAGCTAAATAGGGAGGTGGAAGCAAACGACAAGTTCCGAAAAATTTTGGCCGAGTTTAGAACAGATCCTTCTTTGTGGCCAGACTATTCTATGAAAGAAGGGGTAGTTACTGTACAAGGGCGGGTTGCTCTTCCCCAAAGGATCAACCTTGATTCCGCTAATAAAGCAAGAAGGGCATGATGGTAGCTTGGGGGGCACTCGGGGTTTCTAAAAACATACAAGAGGATTGCCATGAATGTGTATTGGGCTGGAATGAAGAGAGACATCCGTCACTATGTCAGGGATTGCATTGTGTGCCAACAAAATAAATATGTAGCCTTGTCCCAAGGAGGATTATTACAGCCCCTAACTGTTCCTAATCAAGTGTGGAAGGATACAGCTATGGATTTTGTAGAAGGCTTACCAAAGTCGGGTGGCTGGGATACCATTTTAGCGGTGGTGGATAGGCTAATTAAGTACGCCCACTTTGTACCTTTGAAGCGTCCATTTTCGACGATCACGGCGGCTGACGCCTTCGTGAAAGAAATTCTACGCCTCCATGGAATTCCGCGTTCAATTGTATCGGATCGGGATAAAATTTTCATGAGTAGATTTTGGGAAGAGTTGTTTAAACTACAAGGCACGAAACTTTGCCCCAACACCGCTTATCACCCGCAATCCGATAGACAATCTAAAGTAGTGAACCGCACACTGAAACATATCTTCGCTGTTTTGCTTCCTCCAAGCCGAAGTCGTGAGTGTGCTGGCTACCATGGGCAGAATCATGATATAATACTTCCTATCATACTGCTTCCAAGTTGACACCATTTCAATGTTTGTATGGAAGGGAACCCCCCTTATTGTTATGGTTTGAAAAGGAATCTACTCCTTTCTCGATGGCAGAAAGGCAGTTGCTGGAAAGGGATCAGATGCTGGATGAGTTGAAACAACAATTAATGCAGGCTCAACCTCACATGAAGAGAACAGCTGATGCGAAGAGAAGAGATATTCAGTTCAATGTAGGTGACTAGGTATATCTGAAGCTACGTCCTTATTGATGCAAATCATTGTCGTTAAGGCCCAATGAGAAGTTGGCCCCAAGATTCTATGGGTCGTTTCCAGTTGAAAAGAAATTGGATTAAAAGCTTACAAACTGACACTTCCATCAACCTGCAACATTCATCGTCTTTCATGTGTCACAAGTACGTAAAGCGGATGGTCAGTCTCAAACGGTGATGAATATTCCTAGCCACTTGAATAAAGAAATGGAATTGTTAGTAGAACCAGAAGCAATTTTGAAAGTCCGACCAGGAAGAGGAAAGAACATCAGGAGGCTTGAAGTATTGATGCAGTGTAAGGGATTACCGCCCTTAAAAGCCACATGGGAACCATTTGAAATGATAAGAAATCAGTTCCCAGACTTCCACCTTGAGGACGACAAAAAAAAGGAATTTCCATGCACATGGGCACAACAAATTCGGTTGGGTAAGCTGTTATGGAGCCTAAAGTATATAAGCAGGAAGAAATTGGGAAAAGAGCAGGAAAGAAGTGGAAGAATCTAGCAGGAGAGTTTGGACCTCTCGAAAGTCCAATTACCCCTTTGTTTTCTCTTTCATTTTGTTGAGCATTCTGCAGTTTCTTTTCTGATTAGTATTCGTTCAGTTAATATCAAGGAAACATTCTTCTTTACTGTTGTCATTTTGAGTCCCCTTTTGTATTGTGATCCTGTGTCCTATTAGTTGGGAACATATCAAAAGGCTCCTCCATGTGTGTGGAACAAGTTCAGACTGATGGCACCTGCCATGGAAAATCAGATGAATAGACAGAGATGTGGACCAAAAGCAGTAATATGCCATGCAGATGGACTGAGAAATTAGGATTCTTATTATAGAAGTCGATTCAGAGAAAGTGATCAAATAGCGGAAGCTGACTCACAGTCTTATCCTGCTGGGCATCTAATCGAAGATTTCTGAAGGCTTTTGGCAATAACATAGCGAAGCAAACATGTGAACATTGATGGAGAGGGTAACAAGTGTGCAGACTACCTTTTGAAAGAGGCTTAAAAGTTTGATAATAGCACGTAGAAATCTGAGGAGAAGATCCAAGAGCTTTCCAACCCTCAAGAAACTGAATCTTTTGTTTCTACATTTTTATTTCTTTTGACCTTACCTTCTTTTAGAAAAATATCCAACAAAATAGTAATACTAGACTGAAGTTGCAAAAATTATTTAGACAGACCTAGATTCCAACAATAAAGCAAGATAATGTAAAGCTTAACATAAATAATTTACTCCCTAAAATACATCTATCTGGAAAAAAAATTATCAAGCACATCAAAAGCATTATGCATTGAAGGAAAATAATTAAACAAAACCTCGAGTATGACCAGGAGTTGCCATCACAAGCACCTCATGGCTTGCAAACATCCATTTGTCCCCATCATTCAAAGGGATATCTATGCCAGGTATTCTCTCCTTGTCTAATCCTGATCCAATCACCTACAAGGACATACTCAGATGGTTGAAACCTTCACAGAGAGATTTAAAGAGGACAGGTTTTAAAAACTACTAACTGTGTATACAAACTCATCTTCAATGTTGAATACACACGATGAATCTTGATTTCTGTCCGAAAGCCAACGTTTAAATCATATTTGAAAAGTGAAAACATTCAAACCACTTTTTATCCACACAATCAACAAGTACTACCCACTCATGTCTCTGTATTTATAAACACTTTCCAAAAATGCTTTAACTGTATTGTCTTTTTCAGGATGTTCCTAGTTCCTAGTCAATATCCAATATAGACAATTAATATTCAGAGCGCATGAGAAATGATACATTAGCTTAATTTTCCCAAGGAGTCAACCTTGTGAATTCATCAAACATCATCTGTGGAAATTAGCAACCACAAATGCTGGTACTCTTGCACACCCCATTCACATGTGAATGACATGGCCCAGCTAATTCAATGTTTCAAGTATTGGCAGCAACAATGAAATTGTCAATTGAAAATTACCAAGTCACCAAATCCAAGGTCCTCTCTCTCTCTCTCTCTCATGCCACATTGCCGTGGACCAAAAATAAATAATATCTTTCTCGTGGCGAGGCATCCAAAATACTATGCTCTCACACGATAATGGACAGTGGACACATAACCCTGTAACTGACAAGCTCCAACCAGCAGGAAACTATGAAGAACAACCAACTTAAGGCTGGCAGTTTGATTGTGAGGGCAATTGTTAAACATTCTGACACAACCACATTAAACAATGGAACACAGCTCATAAATCGGCAATCTAATAGTATTGAACTGCTACTTTAAGGATTTCCCTTGAATAATAATTATAATAATTAAGTTACAGAGAACAAAAGCATAGGTTTCAAAATATCATGCATGCACACATAGACGTGTCTATGATTCAACTCATACAAGCTTCAGGTTTTACAGAAGGTAAAATTCACATACCTTTGCGCCATACCTTTCCTTTAACTCCATGTTTCCACCAGTATGATCAAAATGATGATGAGTGTTCAGGATGTAAGTCAAATTCCAATTTTTCCTATTCAATGCATCTATAATAGGTACTGCTTCAGAAGGATCAACCACTCCAACAGTCCCAGTATCCATATCATGTAACAGATATGCATAGTTATCCTTAAGACAGGGCACCTACAATAAAGAAAAATGGAACAGAATAAGGATATTTCATACAAGCTACTTACGTATGTGGCTTCATGAATTACATAATGCAAATGACAAGAGGACACGATATTTAACTGCATATATAGTACGAGTTACAGAGAGCTGTCATAGTTTCAACCCTATGTAATAGGTGAGCACATTATCTTAGTTGAGACATATAATGCATGCCATTTGTCCATGATGACAGCACTTTCCACATTTCTCATTATTTAAATTTATAGTGGTTTAGCTATTCCATTAAGTTCTTTGTTTATACATTTCTTGATCAAAAATTACTGATGGTACGAAGAAGTAAAGGATTGAAGATGAGAACAATTTCCAAGTGTAACCAAATAATAATATCCAATTCCAAACAAGCAAGTGGACATTTATGAAGAACTACATCAGATGTAGTGAAATTCAAACTCTAGTGTTTTTGAACTCAGAACTCCACCTTCCCTGGTAGAACCTGAAAACCTAATGAAGTTGTGTTGGTGTTTTCCTTAAGAGGGAAAAAAATAATAATATCCTCAGAACTCCTCAGTCGTGGAAACTCACTAATGTATGATATTCAAACATGTAATCTAAATAAACTCTAAAGCCGTTGCTGAACAATAAAATAAGAAAATAATGAATTGAATGTTTTAATTCCAATTTCCACAATATTTACTTTTTATCCCCCACCCCCACCCCAACTCTTATTATTTCAGTTCTGTAATTAATCTGTCAGCAAAACGGCTGCTCACCAGCTCAATCTGCAAAGTGGATGACATATTGGTGATGCTGCAAAAATTAGAAACTCCTCCGATTGTTTGGCTAACTCCCCGCAAGGTCTTGAATGGCATTGATAAGAGCCTCACAAATCCATACACAAGAGTCTTTCTTAGAGAAAGCTGTCTCATCCCTGGCCATACGCACAGTTCCGACCCTTTCTGTAACAATAATGCAGTAAAACATAATTATATGTAATTAAGAGCATCACAAACTAATTGTTATGAGAAAAGCAGAAAAATCCCTTATACTGAAACACTATCTAACCACTGCAATTCTTTCACAATCATAATCATAAAACTAGAATAATGAGCTCTCAGCACGTTTACAATGCAAAGAGGCACTTATTGCACTGTAATACAGTAGTCAAATGGTTTTATTCAGAATTCATAAACACTTAAAAGAAGTAAATGATGGCGCTTAACCTAGTATTCAATGACATATAAACAAATAGTTTAAACCGCTAAATTTTTCAATCTTTACATAAAAGGCCAAAGAATATAGGCATCATCAAAATATAACATAATGAAATTAAACAAGAGGGCACTGACAAGTACAATTAAAATCAAAACACAAAATTCAGAATAAGTGAAATTCATTTCATGTATAATGATACCAAACGTAATTTGTAGTAAAAGGACAAGACAACAAGCAGAATATATTATCATCAAAGAAGAAAGCTAAATATTATAACAAGTTGCACCAAATGAAAGGTAATTCATATACAAATGAAAACCTATTTTGCTAAACCCAATAATTAAATTGGCAGCTGACAAGCAGGATGTATCAGAAAATCACTTGACTGTTCGATCATTGAGAAAAGAACACCATGCCAAATTTTTAAGGGAAAGGGCCATTTTATAACAGATGATATGTAGAAAAATAAATTGCCGCCTCAAGAGAACTAATTAACGTGAATTTTCCAACTAACAACATTATTATACAGAAATAATGGATGACCTCGATCATATTCATCAATGATAAGTATTAAAAAAAATCAAAATAGTATAATAAGTTAATTGAAATAAAAGTTTAATCAAACGAAGATTAAAAGGCCCGATTCACCAAAACCAATAAATGGGCACTTCAACAAAAAGAATCCATCAGAAAATCACTTGACCCTAAATTAGACGAGGAAAAAAAATAAAAATAAAAATAAAAATAGACCACCCACCTTGTAAGTATCTAAAGAAGGACCCATAAATTAACGCCTCAGCAAAACTAATTAACAGACGAATTTTTCAACTAACAAAATCAATACGTAGAAGGCCCTGATCATATTCATCGATTTCCAAATTATACATACATGCAATATATAGATGCATAAACAAGAAAAAAGTATTGAAAATTGATTCAAAAAGAAGAAGATAGAGAAGGTACCAACCATTGAACGAGGGAAGGAGGCCATGGCAGAGGGCACGGCTCTACTCAAAATCATTTGCAGAATTTGAAGTCACTTTTGTTTCTGGACTCTGGAGAGAGAGAGAGAGAGAGAGTCGTGTGCGTGCAGGCGCGTGCACGCTGATTCTACACGTTTTCTTTCTTAAAATTAACGTTTTGGTAATGAATCTATCTTCTAAAGAAATGTTCATCGAAGCTGTTTCTTTAAAATAATGAAATAACTACTTAATGTCGAATTTTTAAAATCTTTAAAATAATTACTTTAACCATCAGTTTGGAATTTTATTTGAATTTCAATGATTAAAATTAACACCTTAATAACAATTTGGATGAAAAACTACATTTTTCATGAAAAATATTGACAATCAAACACATCTTAATAATTTATTTGGGATAGATTTTTAAAAATTTTAACTATATAATTTTTTCCTATTTTTATCTATATATTCTTCAAGAAAATTATTTTTCTTCCGAAAAAGGAAAAAAATAAAAAATAAATAAAAATCAACTTCAACGCCATTACCAAAGTTAAATGGACCGGAATTTTCTAGGCTAAATTTCATGTGGGGTTGCNCCACATTATTTTCAAAAAAAATATATTCTTCTACAGTGATTTGATATCATTTCAATCACACAATTTTCAATAAAATAATATTATATGCAACTTTAAAATTTTTCCTTATTTTTTAACCACACATTTTCCATTAATTTGACATGAATGATGCATTTTTTCTTAGAATATGGCTCAAACATAGGCTTAGTAAACGTAAATTCAGTTTTAACAAAATTCAGTTTTAACTGAGTCACTAAATTTCAAATTTAGTTTCAAATTTTACTGCTATATCTCATTCCATCTCCCAAATAATTAAAAATTACTTACTTCGTAGTCATAACTCTACAATTTTTTTTACAAAATTGCTAATTGATTTGCCAATTTACCACTATATCAAATAGAAAGGTATAGGGCTGGGCAAATTTTCCGAACCAAATCGAACCGACCGAACCCAACCCGAATCGAACTGAACCGAACCCGACGGTTCTTGTCAAATTAAATACCCGAACGAGTATCTGAATTGAGAACCGACGGGTACAATTCGATTATCGATTCTAGACCAAGAACCGAAGAACCGAATAAGAACCGAATCTTTGTAATTTTTTTTTATATTGAGTAAATCAAATTATTTTAATTTTAATTTTTCTTAACAAATTAATAATTTCTAAATCCAAATTTTTGGCCCAATAATTTGTTTCATTTTTAATTTTTAAATTTTTGGCCTAATTACCCATTTTATTGTTTCATTTCTTAACTCAACAAAATTCAATCCACTAAATAACCCTAAACACCTACACTAAAGTGTATAACGTTGTCTCGACTCTCGCACTCACTCTCGTAGCCTTGCTAATACTCCAAAACATATACAATCGTCGGCCGACACTATGACCTCCGTCGACCGAAGTTTTGACTTTAGTGATCTTTTGAACAATGTAGTCTACTACTCTCTGACATTTCAAAACCATTGAATGTATCATTAGTTGTATTTATATAATATTGTTATAAATGTTAAAAATTTTAATTATAGTACAGAACCGAACGGAACTGAACCGAACCGAACCCGAACGGTTCCATTTACTAGATACCCGAAAATTTTGATTCGGTTTGGTTATAAAGAGAATCGAACCGAACCGACCCGTTCCCACCCCTAGAAAGGTATGTTCTTTTACATTTTAATCTAAAAATATTGTCATGAATCTCATTTGTCATTTTCACTTTTAAGTGCCACACAACGATTTTGTGAAATTTCATATATATATCATGTGTCACGACGGGAATTGAACTACAATGATTCAATTAAAACAAATTAAGCCCCTATTTATTTCTAATTTTTTGCCCAATTTAAATTCATTTTCGAATCGTTGCATCTGTTTCAACCGTGATTTTTGATTTCTTATCTCACAATAGATCCCATGAGCTGGCAAAAAAGTTCAAAAGATGTATTATTCTTTTCAAATAATTGGAAACAAACAGGGGCTAAAACTTTAAACTTGCTGCGAGAATCTAGGGGGAGCCTCGAGGAATGATGATAGCCATGAGATGTAGGACCCATTTCATCTTAATATAGTGCTTTACACCCAATTATTCCACTTCGATCCTATTCCCTCTATCTTATCTTTAACTTTATTTGCTTTGACTTTTAAATCGAACAAAAATAAAGGCCGGTCTGGGATGACTTTCATTTTTACTTTTTATTTTCAAAAATCATGTCAAACAAACCCTTAAAACTTATTCGACATGTTTTCTATTTTGCTATGTTTCTACATGTTTTCTATTTTGCTATGTTTCTATTTCTTGTAGAAAAATTTTCTAAAAAAATTACCTTAAAAAAACTGCCCCTAAAATTTTTTCTAGTCAAACGGAACACTTTCAAAAAATTATCCAATCATGTTAAAAAATAACTTCTTAGTTCCAAAATTTAACTTATAACTTTTCAAAAATCATGTTAAACAAACCTGAAACTTCGAAGAATACGAAAAGGTTCAATTCGGTTTCATTTATTCTTACTCTTTCTATACCCATTAAGAAAAAATAGAGCATGTAAAAATGAAAAAAATTGTTTTAAGGTTGGACCTTAACTTCAATTTTGATATCGTTGGGCTCTTTTTGGTATAAATTGACATTTTTTGTGTCGAATATTATTTAAGACAACATCAAACCCCTATTTAATTCTCATTCTTTAGCCACAAAAACGAAAAATGTGACCGTTATCCATCACATCAAGTCATCATATTTGATTTTTTATCTCTTATGGAGTCCCGTAACAGTTATATTTTTCATTTTCATTCTTACAAAAATGGATACCAAATGGGACCCAAATAATTAAAAAAAGGCAAATACTACTTTAAAAAATATATACCTTTATTATTACTTGTTGGCAAGTGTGATACCTTCTTTAGGTCAACAATCTTTATTGCATTTATTTCACTTTCCCACCAACGAACACACTCATCTACATTTTTTTGGTCTCTCTCCATTTATAATAATCAATAATTTCAATTTTAATATATAGAATTAGATCACAATCAACTATGGAAAATGATAATCAAAAGTTACTTTAACCCACGACAATGCTTATTATTTCCAACTTTATCACTTTTAAAAGTTACATCAATCATAGAATACAACAGGAGGAGGAAATAGAAAGGACACAGAATGACGAACAATTTCAAATTTAGCACCTGTAATTCACTGCATTTCGGGACGAATTCAAACAGAGAAGCACGGCTCATAGCTCGTCCTGCAGGCAGAAAAGATGAAAAATAATATAGCATGCATAGTACGAACAAAAGGTCATCGAACTAAGATGGACGTGTCACACAGAGATTGAATAACGCCCCAATATCAAAACTCGCCACCTCGTGTTGAGATTAATGGACCACATAAAATGAAGATTAAAACTTATGCAGAGAGAGAGAGAGAGAGAGTCCTTACATGGTAATCATACAAGTAATCTTCAGGATCATGCTGCAGCATAAGGATAGAAAAGTAAATTGCAATCTTAAGCTAGTGTTATTACCGGATGTTAAGCATTTGATCATAAAAAAAATAAAAATAAAAAATAAAACCGACTAAATGACAACTATGACAGGCTGATCTAGTAATTGGTCATAAGTGATTAAAGGAGTACTTATTAAGTCATGTAGGTCACAGAAGATGATGCAGGTAGATTCCTAAAAGTGATGGGAAATAGGAGAGGAGCAATCTTGCCTAATATCATGCAGGATCAGTCCCGGGAATCCACCCCAAGATCGTTCGGGAATTTACTTCAGAGTATCCCTTACGAAACTGGCCCACCTTCATGTCCAAGTGATGCTCTGCATCATTCTCCCCTCATTGTCTTATCTTTAAAACACCATATTTTAAGTAGGCAAATTATGCAGGAAACATAATTTCTTTCTTCTTCCAGGTCAGTGTAGGATCTACTTTGATGTTTCAGTACAATTTCTTTATGATGTACACAACAATGATGGAAAGATTTGGATTTCTTTCAAGATTTTAAACCAGATAACCCTATTGAGGCAAAATCACTGCAATCGAATGACAGGTTACATGTAGGACACCATTTGCTTCAAAATCTGTGCTCTGATTGGAGGTTCAAGAAGTGTGGATCTACGCAGGATTTATGCATAATGAACTGGTGATAATATTATTCCCTTGACTAAGATTAAACAATCATAACCCGAGATCGACAGAAATTAGAAAAATTACACGTAACATAGCAACTAGCAATGAAGCACAAAAGTGGACAGAAAATAAAGGAAGAATACCCTTTTATGGTGCCTTCTGTCTCTATACCCACGATCACGATCTCTCTTCCGTCCTTCACCCTCCTCTCTATCTCCTTCAGCTTTCTGCATATCATTTTATAGACAGTGAAATAAGTATATGCATAGAAAGATTAGAAGACAGTAATATGTATCAGCATTTGTAAAGTTGTGACTCGCCTCTTCTTCCCTAGCTCTTCTTAACTTCTCTGCCTCTTCAAAAGCCTCTTTTTCAGCCTGAATTTTACAGTATGAAACCACTAAATTACAAAATTTGAATGGACCTGTCATGTAAGCTTATGGAGCACCATCTAACCTCCCTATTGTTGGCCCATATTTCTTTCACAACTTCTTTTGCGTATTGTGGGTCATCACATATCAAAATATTGTCAAACACTGAACCAGCTTTTACCTGTAAAGTAATTATATTAAAAAAGGTGCTCATAGCAGAAAAAACCAAGTATCATTCAAGACTCGAGAAATGTTGATACTGAGTCTAGAACATGCATGCCCACGATGGGCTGACCATAGGGAATTTGAAAAACAAATTCTAAACCACCCAAAACCATCCGTTCTCTTTTTGCTTGAATAACATGAATAAGGCCTCTAAACCTAAAAACAATCTCTGCCATAAAGACG